TGAAAAGCCTGCCCGTTGGTTGTGGTTGCACTTCATTATTATTGAAATGCAGACACCACCATATCTGTTCAAATCTCTTACGACTCACGAGTTTGCCAAAAATGGGTCACTTGACCAATAATCCTTCAAAGTATCTCTCTTTGTAAGCCCCATTAGAATGATCATAGCCAAAAAATTTTTCATTTCTGTTGAAGTGACATCCACCCACTTCAACACCTTATAGGTGCGGTCGTACGTCTCACGTTGTTGGAGATTGTATCTGTTAGTCTCCTGACATAACAGGTCAAAGAAACTATCTCCAAAAAACAGTGACACAACTTCAGACACATCCGTTGGGTCCGATGGCATCCACTTCACCCCCGGATCACCAGTAAACCTACCCAAAGTGGGGGTTTTGTCCACTTTACCCCATGTGGCTGTCCCGGTACTCGCACTTTCATCGGAGCTCTCACTTTCACTGGACTCAATATTTTGGGGGGTCCTGTGGCCTCTGTCACTGTCACTTTCACTGAGGCTGGCCTCACTATCAGAAGACGAAGCAGTTGGCAAATCTGATAGCTCATCGGAGAACAAATCTAATATTTCTTGTTCTCTGAGAGAACGCTTCGCCTGCAACTGCTTACGTCTCTGATCCATGTTGCACTGCTAACTTCCTGGTTCATACGTGGAAGCTTGGACTCGAACAAAGGCTTTTTTCTGTAGGGTGTGACAGGAAATGAGCGTGATCATGTTACTGGCTAAGATAGCAAACATTCCCGAGGTCAACTACGCAGTATTTATGATGCAATGTGGCCACACAGCGAGATATAGTTGGTTGCAACATAACGCGTCAGAAAAGGGCCAATTGGCCCGCCCAGTCCGCAACGCTATAGAAACATAGAGGGCCAATTGGCCTCACCAGTCCTAAATGTATTAAATGGCTACACAAAATAATAAATCCTAGATGAGGCAGCAGGTTCCTCTGAAAGATTGTGCCTACTTATCAGACTACATGACCATCTCATCGCAGAAGATAGTAATCCTCAAGATAAATGACCAACTACCTTTATATGTGATAATGAGGTTTTATATTGCCACTTGTACACTGTGTATTCTCATAAGATAAAACTTTTATCATGATGCAGTTTACAAAAGTAGAGTTTGAATCATGAGGTATGTGTCACAGGCAAAGGTTAGCTACTTATATGGTAAAGTGTATAGAATGTAAATCTATAATGGCTTATGTACGTATTTTTAACTGCAATGTGAATAACAATTCAAATGCAAAGATACTGTTACACCAACAAAGAACTGAATAATGTAATGGTGAAAACATTGCATAAATCCCATTACAGATGAAAATGTTAGTGGAAGTTGGAGTGAGAAATTTCTCAAAATGTTGAGCTCTACTAAAATGGTTTAGGCTCTGTGGATATTCTTGCAATGTATGATTTTATTGTGGCCTTGAAGCTTCTAATTTATTGATGCCCGGTATAAGAGCTTTATAAAAGAAAAGTTCATGTACAGCAAAACCACAATTGAAGGTTTGTTTGGGGAGCAGTTGATATGAACACTAAACTGAGGAAAATGTTAGAGGAAAGTTAACATTGGAAGCACTGATATTGAACACTAAATAATGGACAGCCTTAAATCAAAGAACATTAAATTGGGGTTGCACTGTATATTGCTCCAAGAAATTAATTATATAACATACAATATACAGAGAAAAGTAGTTATTAAAATATATTTTTTTCCAGGATAACCTAAAAACCATAGTTCATGTTTCAATTTGAAATGTTTAAGTACTGCAAGCATGCAGGAATAAAAACATCATATTATTAAAAAATTTTCCACAATTTTATAACCCATACATTTGCTTCAAAACTTGGGGTATGAGTATGTATATGTAAAATTTCAGGATCTAGCGAAGAGACAAAACATATCTTAGTTTGTCTTCACACAAGGCAGCGCCATATCTCAAGTGGTTAATCGCTGGCTTCCCATTTTGTGGCCCGGGTTCAAACCCAGGTCTGGTCAAGTGGGATTTGTGGTGGACAAAGTGGCGCTGGGGTAGGTTTTCTCCGAGTACTGCAGTTTCCCCTGCCACTCTTCATTCCACCAAATTCTCCATCATCATAATTACCAGGGGCAGGTACAATAGGCCAATCAGTGGCCGCTGTGCCAAGTGGACCCAAATGGACTCCACCCCCCACTGTCCGAAATTTTTGTCTTCACACAGATTGGCAACATCATTATTTTTAGTGGCTAGGGTTATTGTCAGATAATTTGCAATATTTAACTTTGGCATGTGTTCACTCAGCCTATTTAGAATTTATATTTGAAATTTATTTTGTGGATAGGCACACAGCCCCAGTTTAATATACAAGTATTGATATAAGCTAATTATATTGTATTTTAAAGCAGTTTAATAGGACAAAACTCAGAAATAAGTATGAAAAATTATTTGTTGTTGGGCCAGATAGAACAATTTTTATCCTTCGAAGTAATATGCATTCAGATGTAGCATATGAATCTGTTTTCTGTGGATAATGAAAGAAGAAATTTCCATTCATAAATAATAACATTATTACTGTTCTAACATATATTTAATCTTAGGTTCAATCAGCAGCTGCTTTGCTTCTGGATAGCAAAATGTTCTACGTTCCATTCCTGCTGAATTCTGCAATCCAGAGATAGTACATCGATTCTCTCGGTAGCAACCCCTACCAATGGTCAAGATGGAATTGTGACAATCGAAGGCGGCAGAATGGGATTTTGACCGCACGGTGATCGTACACTGTGATCAATGGGAATTTATGGCAGTTATTTGGACATACAGCCATCCCATTCTTGCTTTGCAAAAAGGGTTGTAGAAATATCTATTAAGATTTGACACTGCTGCCTAAAAATGCAAGAAAATTCTTGAGTGTTTTCTCCAAGTTTGTTTAGATTAAAGTGAAGTATATAGGCAAATGGTCAGATGTGTTTCAAGAAGGTTCAAGCATGAAGGGATGAATCAGTTACCATTACCATTTCTGTTGGAGGAAAATGAATGGATACAAGTGGAATGTCGTGGGCCAAGTCGCTGATCAGCACCAGTGCACAGTGTGCAGGCAGATGGACAGAAATGGAAATTCACCATACAGTACTTGCAGCCTAGCATTTTAGCCGGTGCTAGGCTAAAGGATGTGTAAGGCTAAAGTGAGACTAAGTTTAGGATAAATGTAAAAATAAATGTATGTACTTCAGTAAAGAGTGTGTATTCTGCAAGATGATGTACAATATGTTGCAAACATATAGGTCAAAACCTTAGACCCGGACCAGTTCATAAATATAATTTTGTCAGTGCAGTCAAGCTGAAAAAAAAAATAGAAGGAAAGTACAGATGATTTTGATATGAAATTGGAGGAGCAACACGTAATTCCTAAAAGCTGTTACCATAGCGATTTTTCGCAACCAAAGTATCCTTATACTGCCTTAACAGATCAAGTTACCGGAAGATGTTTTACAACATCACTAAACTCGACTGAACATCTAAAGTCATTGGTTGAATCAAGAACCACCTAACATAGATTTTCTGAGTTGCAGTGGTTAATCGAAGTTAGCTTCTTCCCTCCGAAGAGATATTTCCCATAGTGCAATGTAACAGGAGTAATATATTCATTACTTAATATTATAATTATTATTACCTTATAATTAAGTGTTTTTCCAACAATAACTAAATAAAAATACCATAAAATTCCAATTTTCAGATCAGTCCACAAGTTACCAATGTCAAGCAGGTGTAATTATAAAGATGTTCCTCTTTTTTTTAAGATCATTTAATTTTGAATGATGTAATATAACACTGTGTGAAGAGTAACATTAGCTCTTTGTGAATTTTAATTTTTTAAACTGTCCTGAAGGTGGGAATAAGAGAAAGGGTCAGGTAAGATTATTAAAGGGATGAACCCTTTCTGACATGATTACCATATATTTTCCCTGACCTAAGCACGTATTGTCAGTTAAAAACATGTGAAGTACAAAGAAAGATAAACGATTTTTTAAGGAAAACTAGTAAAATGATGTGTTTTTGGAAAATAAAACCTTTTCAGTGTGCGTCATCGTATGCTTCAATTATTGTCAGTATTGTAAACTAATTTTAGGGTTACTCCTAATGGTTGAAATTGTCATTGTTTCTTCTCTTTGGTAAGCATAACTACGCCTTTTGCAAAGTATTTCTGTAAGTGTAAAATAAACATTTTCATGACACTAGACTTTAAATATTATATACTGCAGATTTTTATAACGTATTTGGAAGTTTTAGATTTTGGAAATACTTAATAATTGTTGCAGTAGTTATTTGGCAAGAGTTTCTTATTTTCCAAGTTTATGGCACTGCTTCAAGACAGATGTAGCAACCATTTAGAATATGTGGGCTTTTACAAATCTGTTTGTAAATGAAAGTAAAAGTATACATGGTGCTAGGTCTCTTAAGAGAAAAAGAAAATGAAGTCTTTGGTGACTCTAAACCTCAGAAACTTAAACTTATAAGACATTCTTGCATGTCTTATTAAAAATGTTTAAAAGAACTGTGGAGCTTTGGAAAAGCTCGTATTGTTGCCTTGTGTTGTTCTAATCTACAAGTGTGAATTCAATGTCTTTGTTGTCTAAAGTGTAAATAATATCAGATGTATAAAGATTATTATTAAAGCAAATTTTCTAAGAGACTGGTGATATATCAGAGTTGGAAGTTCCAGTGTACTTGAAGTTCCTGGTGAACATTGGCTTGTTAGTTGACATTGTTTCATTGTTGTTCTCTTTGGTTAACTAATACAGTGGTGTAAATGCCAGATTTGAGAATAATACAACATTTTCATAGCAGTGACATCAATGTCTGTAAGACTTTAAAGCAGTTTCTGAAATGGGAAAATTGTAGAATGTGAATAAGATGCTTTTATGGAAATAGAACTAAACTTATCTGTCCTTCTGTAATGACCTATATATCATAAGTTCCTTAGCACTATGATTTTGAAAATTATTAAGATACGAATTATTAAATTTTGTATGTATATATATATACTCTCTGTGGTTCTTTTTCCAATAACGACTTACAAATTTTTAAGTTAATAAGCTGTACCAAACACAACTTCTCATGCAGAAAGATTATAAAAATGAAGAGATGAATGAACAGCAAATTGATTCTACCCTCATGTGCTGCTTAAAAGTATATTAAATTTAAGAAGTTACCATTTAATTTCATGTCCAGATGTTATATATAAGATGCAATGCAAATTTCACTACAGCTGCACACTTTAACACTTCTTAAAACTTGATGTGGAAGATATATGTTTGGTTGGTTTCAGATTATTGTTTTAATATGTTCCTGTAATAATTGATCGGTATCCATCAACAATTATTGGTGCACCCTTAATATAGAAATTACATTAAAATGTGTATTTATTGATTTTATATTAATTTGTGATGGCACTGTAAAGATTATCAACAATGAATGATGGCTGTGATTTCATGTCAGACTTTTGAACATTGATTCCATCCTATATAACATATTAAATCAAAGGTACAAAGTGATGTGGCGGTAGGAGGAAGAAATGGAGGGTCACTGCTATAGCTAAAGATGATTATGGCAAAATTAATTTTTGTGGTTCTTTCTTTATCCCAGGCATCTCCCATTCCGTTCCTATCTGTATGATAGTTTTAATATACAGGCAAGCTTCAAGATTACTTGTGTCATGAAAAAAATTGGACATCTGCTTTTAGTGCATAGTCTTGAGTTTTCTATCATAGATGTTTCCTTTTATCAGCCATTACATTATTTTGCAACCTACTCTTAAACCACTGCAGTTCCTGTAGACTTGACATGACTTTAAAATAATCATATTTTTTTTACATGTGAACACAATGAGAGATTAGATAGTTAAAATGGTGTGTGCACTGCAGTTAGTATTGACACACATTACAGATTGATAGTTTGTGGCATATGCAACTGGGATGAACAGAGGAGTCATTCCAAGCAGTGTGGAATTGGTACAGTCCATGACTGTATAACCCTCTTTTTAGTCTTTCATTAATTGATGTTTGAGGTTGTACCCCAAAATCTCATGGTTTCTGTTAAAAAAGAGGTAAAGTTGTCCCTGTGCTTAACTAATTAAGCACTATAACATGAAGATGTATGAGGGAGTGGTTGTATAGATCCACGTTTTCTTGACCTCGGCACTGATTTGAGGTGAATGGTCAGCTTTTCGCTCCAACCACTTTACCCCCTGGGGAAAGATCCCGCAATACCCATTGGATAGGAGGCTGGATGGGCTCCAGTGCTGGTCTGGACGACATGGAGAAGTGAAAATTCTTGGCCCTACTGGGACTCGAATTCCAAACCCTTGGTTGTCCAGCCCACAGCCAGTCACTATACTGACTGCACTATCCCAGTTCCACTAAGCAAGCCAAGATGTACTGAATGTTGGCAAAGGATTACATCCACTGCAGGTAACAGTGACATGGCTTGTTAGGGCACATCCACTTAAAACAATAAAAGAATCCATACTGGTTATGTTCTGGCTTCATTGAGAGAATATCCTCATACTGATTTCACACAAATTCTGACCCTACTGTCTTTGTCTTTAAGTACTTCAGGAAATATTTTGTTGTTTCTGACTATGACTGGCTAAAACAGGTAACAACACATTACTGCCATATTAGTTTATATTTATGAACAAAGTTAACCAAAGAGAACATAAGATATTAAAAATTATTTCCAGTATCTATATGATGAGACAGACTGTGAATGCAATTAATTGTGAAGAATATTGCCTGCCTTTCTGGTTGTTAAGTTTTCAATGCTGTGTTACATCACAGACTCCTCTATCCCGGCAAATTGGATGGAAGGGCTTGTGGTGTGGGGGTCTGAAGTATATAGTAGTTGTAGCAGAGTAATTAAACCATTTAAGAAGGAAGTTCTTGTAATGATTAAATAAACAACTCTGTGCTTGTGTAATTTAAATAAAGTCACCAAGTAGATATGTTGACTACCTTTATACCTACTTTCAAGTAGATTTCATTTATACATATATGTACATCTTTATTATGCTTCATCCATGATACTAAACAGTGATGAGGTCTGAAAAAGCTTACTTTATACTCATACACAAAAGAACTATGAAAAAATTCACTTGAGGAAGTGTACTTGTCTTCAGCAAGCACTCAGCTTCTTCCCCCCATTCTCATTTCCTCCTACTTCTTTTTGGAACGCCTATTTTCCCTAATAATACAACATAAACAGTAGCTAAATCATTAAATTCAACGGACATTTTAACATCAACGACTGAATACCAACTTGCTTGGTCACAAATTGCTTCAGCATGTATGCTCACTATTTTGTTCAAACTGGCATGACAGTTTTAATTGTCAGACTTGTCAAATTTAATTAAATGTATATGCCCCACCCACTGCATCCTCCTTGATCTGATAATGGTAAGGCTTGATAAAAACTAATTTACGAAGCTCCCCCCCATTTCCTGTTACTTCCTCTCGCTTAGTTCTTCATTGCTCTGTTGAACACCCTAAATCTATGCTATTCCGCTGGGGTAAAGTTTCATATGTACACAAAGTGTCAGGTAAGACTACAGTGTAATATGTTTTAACATTTACATTTTTATATAGGAGATTAACTGAATGGTAGCAAGCAGGCCCTGAATTTAATATTTCTGTCCTTTGTAAATGTATCTCCGATTTGTTATGTTATTCCAAAATATTCAATCTTACAGGACTTTCAGAAGATTTACTATTGGTCTATGATATTTTGTCCTCTATTCTAGTGACAAGCTTTGGACATATATTTTTCCAAGGATTACTTACAGACCTGCTGTCTTTATGGTTTTCTGTATGGTATTTATGGAGCCCTAAAATATGTTCTTATTTCAGACACTTCTAAGCGTAAAACGTATGTCAGATATTATCTATAGAGTTCACTATAGGTTTTGTTCTGGGGAAGGAAATTTACAGACTTGTTTTACTACATAATGTCCTCCCCCAACTTTCCCATAGTGCTTTGTTCAGATATTATTGCTGATCCTATAAGAATGCATTTCAAAACTGTCCCTTTAACTGCAGGACATTTCTGGCATATAAGTTTACTGTACATTGAGCCTAACAATGGATCAGCATCTGCCCTTCCAGAAATGGTAGAAGCTGTCTTTAATGGAAGTACTGTGATAATATCTGGCAAAGGAAAATTATAGAAAAAGAAAAAATTATGTTGAGAATTAATGTGACATTCGTGGATTGTCTGGAGGATGGATGAATTGATGGGGCAACCCTAAATCACTTCAAAGGTAGCTGAGTGTGATTTGTGCAGGCATTTTGGAAAGTGAAAATTATTGGATGCCAAGATATCTGAATAATTACATAAGGTAGTAAGTAGAGAGGTGTTAATTCTCATTTGCAGCTATTGATGTATGTCTTTATCTTCCATATTCCCACCTTCTATAACTTTGAAGAAATAGTGTATCATCTTTCAGGTAGGAAGAAAAGATTTCTGAATGCAGTGGTATTGTAGTTAGTTTTGGATGTAATAGCATTTACATTTTTATGCTTCCTTGGAGTATGAAAACCGAAGAGTGGTTATTACAGAGTACTAAATGTACTGTAATATCTTTTCTCTTGAGATTTTTTATGTTAAAGGAATGGTGAAACAAATGGAAGCATAAAAGATTGTCAGTGCATAGATAATTAGAGCTTAGCTTATCTTCAACTGGGTAGCCCATTTTGTCTAGCCTTTTGTAAAGGCTGGCATTATGTGGCCAAGTCAAATCAGATAAATAAGACTGTGTTACAGAGGGCTGGATGGGCATTGCCTGGGCCATTTTTCTATATATATTTATTTTTCAAAATAAATAAAAATCAGATGAAATATTTAATTCAACCGATAAGCAGAAACTACAGAAGTGCATTATAAAATACACAAACCTCTTACCAATAACTCATGACAGACATAAAAATGAAAATAGGCCACATTCACATATTATGGTCCTAGCACAAGAACAATCAAAATTATTCTAGAACACTAACATAAGAACAGCATTCAAAACTACTAATACAATGCAAACCCACCTAAAACCAAGAAAGGGCACAATAAACACATATAACCAAAGTGGGGTATACCAATTAAAATGCAACTCAGATGCACAGGACAAACAGGTTGTATATTTATAAATCCTTCATAAAGAACATATACAGGATATAAAAACAGACAAAACTCAAAATATTCTCAGTATATACTTGAAAAAGGACACACATATAGCATAATCGACCAAATATTAAAATTACTATACAATGAAAATAAAGGCCAATCACTAAATACGCTTAAATGATTCCACATATATACATAATTCAAGTAAGCAAAGATTTTATTTTCATAACAGGATTATTTTCTATGGTGAGTTGTTAGCCTCACATCCAACCACAAAGCTGGAGGACCACCCCTTGTTGCCTGTCTGCAACTGCTTATTGAATATATACGCAGCTTCCCTCCAAAACTGCATGATGATGAGCTTCATAAATTGTACTTTTCTCTAAGTATAATTAGCATGATCAAGTCAAGGAGGATGAGGTGGGCATGGCATGTAGGATGAATGGGGGAGACAAGTAATGCATATAGGATATTGGGAAAGTCATAAGGAGAGAGATCACTGGAAAGACCAAGACATAAATGGGTGGATAATATTAAAATGGATCTTAGAGAGATAGGATTGGATTGATCTGGCTCAGGATAGGGACCAGTGGAGGGCTCTTGTGAACACGGTAATGAACCTTTGGGTTCCATAAAATGCTGGGAAATTCTTGAGTAGCTGCAGAATTGGCGGCTCCTCCAGGAGGGCTCAGCTCCATGAATAAGTAAGTAAGCAAAGATTACAAATGAATGATACCACTGCACCCCCTGTGACTCCTTTTGGGAATACAACTAATGCATTAATTGACGAATACCTGTACAAGAAATATGTCGGCTGTAGCTGGACTGTAGAAGTGGTTGTTTGAGAACTAATTGTATAAAATAGGGAACAAAGTTCAAGGAAGGTAGCCATTTCTGTTTCAATGAAATAGCTGTTATTGAAAAGAAATCTGGAGTCATTACTTTCAGCATGCCCTTGTACAAGCTCTGTCACCAAGAGAAGACAGATACACTTCCCAGTGAAACATCCCACATTGTGAAATTGGAAATTTCATAATGTTAATTGGAATCCATATTTAAATATTTGTTGCTTAACCTCCAGTGGTGTCCTGTATACACAATGGCACACTTGCCATTGTATCACATCACTACCTGGAACACAGAATTCTTATGGCAGCCATAACTTCTGTCTCTAACAGTGATATTATATCAAAAGTGCCAGTTTTTTATAACAGTTCAGAAAAAAAATGCTGTAAGCTTTCTATTCATGTATGGCTAGTCACATTTTCAATTTTCTGTGGCATGTAACAAATACTGTGTACATCTGAAATAAAAATACCCTACTTTACCTTTTTAACTACAGTGTAAACCTCATGTTAAACATTAGATCTGAAGCTTTCATGGCAGCTACAGTGGATGAAATCTGCTCTGACTTTCAGCCCAGTCAGTTTGTTAAATATCACCGATGTCGCAAGGAACATCTCTGTCCCTATCATCAGACATGGCTGATAGCCCAAGAATATTTTATCAGCTTATGTCACAGCTTTTTTTCTTTAAAACAGGGTTATGAGATCACACTGCTGTCTGTGTATGCTCCCTTCCCTGAACCTATTGATCCATGACTGATATATCATTAAAATATTCCTACAGGTAAGACAGTTACAAATATGAGAAGATAGGAAAACTTACATACGAGTGTTTTGGAATAATGCTGCTGCTACTGCTATTACTACAACTTGTGCTGCTGCTACTACTACTACCACTGCTACTAACAATGATCGCAGTTTTCTATGGGTAAAGTCTTCAAGATGCACCAATTTGCCACCCACAGAATCCCACCCCCAGCAACAGATTTTTTCTTTAATATTTCACCACACTACATAAGCTGTGGAGGAAGCTGAGCAAAATTTCCCAAATCAGGAATTAAATTAAAAAAACATGGTACTTTTCGCTTTAATGGCATTCGGTTATCAGGAAAACCTGGTACTTTTGGATCCAATGACCTTGAACGACCTTCAGGAGCACAGTATTGATCGCAAATGAGGAATTAAATTTAAAAATCCCGGTACTTTTCGTTTTAATTGTCTTCGGTTTTTTGGAAAACCTGGAGGAGACAGTATTGAGCACAATTTGTCCATACAGCAAGAAATGTAAACAAATCCCCGGCACTTTCTGTTAGCACCCCAGAACTTTATGATAGCACCACCTTCAGTGAGTCCATACAGCAAGAAATGTAAACAAAAACCCGGTACTTTTCGGTTATTTGGAAAACCCGGAGGAGCACAGTGTTAAGCGCATTTTGTCCATACAGCAAGAAATGTAAACAAAACCCCGGCACTTTCTATTAACACCATGGAACTTTATGTTAGCACGACCTTGAGTGAGTAGTCAATCAGCATCAAGGGGCAGGGCCACTTCAGTGCTTACTGTACGATCTATGGGTACAGTAAACTAAACCACGCCTTCGGGGCATAGAGGAGTTATCATAGGACCCTCACCAGGATTGAGACTGAGTAACCAACCAACATTAAGAGGCGAGGGCACACAAGTCCACATGAATTTCGTGCTTACTGCACTATTTATTAGTACAGCTGGAAATGTAAACAAAACGCATAATATTTTGATGAAATAACCTTTAATGATATTCAAGAACACAAGAGTTGTTGCAGCTCTGGGCATTTTCCCGCATATATTTCCTTATTTCCGAAAAATGTGTTACAGTAGCCAGTAAGCATCAATGGTCAGGGACCAAGTCTATGTACAAATACACGAATGTAGTGCTAAATGCAAATATTTTGAAGATACAAGAAATGTGTATATATATATATAACCCAATTGTTTTGATCTTATAACCTCTAAAAGCTTCAAGAGCACATTTCAAGCCAGAGCTGTGAAATTTTTGATGAGGATTATACATCACTGCCACAGTTGAACATTTATCTCCTAGACAGGGTATGAGGATGAACTTCGTTTCTTCAATTAGCCATTTTTTGAAGCCAGTTGGTCACTTCTCTTCCACTTGGTCCACTTGGTTCATCTGCTTTAAGATGCGGCCACACAGAGCGCTATGTAAGCTACGTACGCTATGTTCGCTGCGTCTCAGAGTGTTTGATTCTCGGTTATATTTTCAAAACCTTCAAAACGTTCAAAACGTCCCGCTGGACGGGCATGCGCACTGGGCTCGCTTCCAGGTGTCAGCTGCGCGCTGCAGAAATTTCTGACTCTGACTACAAAGCGTGTTACGTATCATTCAGCGCAGTATTCGGTTAGAAGAAAATGTTACTGGAGGAATTAATTGAAGAAGTAAGGAAGTATCCATGTTTGTGGAACAAAGGGTTAGAAGAGTATCGGAACCAGAACATGCGGGATAATGCCTGGGACACGATTTCTGGAGAACTGAATACACCAGGTAATGTACAAACGTTGTTCTTTTATCTATAAGTGAAGAACTTAAAATACTTTCATCAACCCCAGTGAAACAGTAATATTTATTATGAAAATTCAGAAGTAATATTTTATCTTTCATTTCTTAATTACGGGCTTTGCTTATTGCTACAGTTTTAGGATACTTTTAATTATAAATGTATTCCAAGTTTTGCAAAATATAATTGTTTAAAATCACAGTTTCCATATTTTGGTCATACTCGGATGCTACCTAGTACCCATTTCTCTAGTCAGTCTAGTAATCCACACGATTTACTATTCTCTGTTGCCACTCAACTCGACCATCATCAGACATGAAGTGTTCCATGAATGAATTTCGAGCTAGTAGTGCCCCTCTTGTCGAGTTTGTAGCAGTAGCAGCAGCCTGAGTGTGTTCTCCATCAGGAGTAATGCTGGCCCGGGTTGATTCTAGCCATATATAATTGTGCAAGACAACCGTAGCTTGGATTGCTTTGTCGGCAAGCTCAACATGGCATTCGAAAGGCTGATGATATATCCTCCAAGTATTAGCAAGGATCCCAAAAGCATTTTCAACAGTGTTTCTGCTTCTTGAAAGCCGATAATTGAAAGTCTTCTCTGCCTCACTGAGACTTCGACCAGTTTTGGGATAGGGTCTTATGAGGTACTTTTTAAGAGGAAAAGCTTCATCACCAGCCAAATTTCATCTGGAGGCAGTTCAATTTTTTGTCTTGCTCAGTGCTTACCAATATTACTGTTGGCAAACACATTTCCATCACCAACTCTCCCATATTGCTATACATCTACACAGAGGAATCTTTTATTAGCATCAACTAATGCCAGCAATACAACAGAATGATATCTTTTGTAGTTGAAGAATTCTGAGCCTCGTAACAAAGGGGCTTTAATATGAACACGTTTGCCATCGATTGCTGCGACACAGTGAGGAAAGTTCCACTTTTCTTTGAAATCTCTTTCACATGCTCTCCAAATCTCTTCATTGGGCTCAGGCATGACTATAGTTTGCACAGCTTTCCAAATAGCTTCACAGACATTTTCAACAGTGTCACTGACTGTAGACCTACCCATGCGATAGGTGAAAGCCATGGATTGGAATGAATTACCAGTTTCTAGGTATCTGCAATGAAGAAAAAATATTATGATTATTAGTCGTATTTTACTAGTACCAAGTACACTATTATATGCATTATAATTTATTATGGTGTGTGTCTGCAGTGGAGGATTTGAAAGTAGATTGGAAGAAACTGCAAGACAGTCACAGACAAGCTATGCTAAGAAGAAAGACAAAAAGTGGTCAGGGTGCTAGGAAAATGAAACCTTGGAAGTACGAGGCGCTAATGTCTTTCCTACTGTCTGACCTAACTCCACGGCAGTAAGTGCAATTTCTGATGTTATATGTACTTCAATATGCTGCTTGAGGTATTAAGATTCTTATACATATATTTTGTTTTCTTCTTCCGAAGAACTGAATCCAATATAGACGTAGTTGAGGAAACTGAGGAGCGTGAGGACGGCGTGGGACTCATGTTGGATGAGGAAGAAGAAGAACAAACAGAATCAGCCTATCAAAACAGAAGAGAGAGCGGAAGTAAAAACAGCAGGAAGTTTGGGAAAAGGTTCGACAAGGAACGCAATTTTGACAAAGTAATCTCATTCATGCAAGAGAAGGAAAGGGATAGAAAACAACCAGGTGAGCTTGAGTATTTCTTTGCCAGTGTGTGCGAAAGCACCAAGCGCCTTCCTCGTTGTTTTCAACTAAGGGTAAAGCAAGAAGTTATGAAGACAATTTTAAATGCAGAAATGGAGTGCTTGGGCGCTGAGTCATCTATTTTTTCAACCGAATTATACCGTCAAGCACAACCTTCTCCTGCTGCTAGTCAGTCTTCATCTGAAGCTCGCATTGCGACAATGGGCTACAATAATCTACAATAATACATTGAAGGCAAGCTTCAGACGCCATACCAAGTAGAGTATGAAACCTCATGATTGAATCTGGAAGGGGTGCTGCACAAGGAAATGGTGCTTTACCCCTGGGATTAAGGTGGTTGTGGTCAACCAGTCAGCTGATGCCTCACAGGAGACATACAGAATAAATGTTCTTCCCCAGAGCAGACATTTCAGCATAAAAAGAGTTTACTGAACAAGGATTGACCACTTGGCTTGCACAGATGGTGAATCAAGGAAACAGAGTTTATCCTCATATCCTGTCTAACACATAAACGTTCATCTGCAGCACTCCTCAGTAATCCTCTAGCTAGAAATGTACTCTTGAAGGTATTTTGGAGGTTAGAAGTTTAGACAGTTCAGGGGTTTGTTTACATTTCTTGCAGTTAGCACTAGATTCATGTATATTAACTTGGCTCTGACCGTTGATGCTGATTGGCCACTGCATCCACTTCTTCGGAAATACAGCTACATCTGCAGCCAAACTATCAAATCCCAGGCTCAAAGCTTGGGGCTGCCACAGTGCTGTGCTCTTGAAGGTTGTTGAAGTTTACTGGAACAAAAAATACAGGGTTTTATTTGCATTTCCTACTGTAACGGCAAATTGTGCATTAAATATTAATTTCATGCATCTTAACTTGGCCCCACCCCTTCATGATTGGTTAGTTTATTCTATTCCCATTCCACATGGACTTGAACCCATGTTCTCATGCATACAAACCTTACCACTAAGCTAACGCTTGTCATGCTGGATCATTCATCCATTGCTTGTCATGACTGCTGTATTCAGTACAGGTTAAACAGTTCGGTACATCCAGTCTTGAGCTTTATACAAACCATTCATATCAAGTCATGTAACACGACTGGCCCTGTAGTGATTTATTCTACGTTTATTCTGATCATAAAGTGGACTCTTCAAGCAGTCAGGCTCTGAGGTTATTTGTAAATTCACTGCACATATAATTTTATAGGCAAATTCAACCAGTAGATGTGTGGGTCTCAGGGATGGGGCAGCGAGCTTACCTTCTGAAGGTTCCATGTTCATGTCCGCAGGGAATGCGACTGCAACTTTTTATGCGTCCAAGTGAAAGCATTTTTACTTACCTCCATAAACACAACCAACATGTATTCTTTCAACATGCTACTGAACTTTAATGTTTTGGTGTTCTGAAATATTCTAGATAGGTTTTAAAAAAGGACAAGAATTTCCAGAATTTACTCCCAATCCAACTATTTTTTTTTAATGTTGTTCATCCAACACATTAAAATTCTTAAATATTTTAAAATTATTTGTTAACTGTATTTACAATGTGACTCTTCTGGCAGATGCTGTTTTGTATGTTCTCAAATACTTCATTTTATTTGCACCCTGTACATATTCTGAGTGCAGTGCTGCACTAAGCACAGGGACAACTTTATTTGTTTTCATTTCTTTATTGGTTGTATTAAAGCCATCAGCACTCAGTTGGGGTCATTCAATTCCAGTCATTCTTGACACCATGCTGTAAAGCAGAAATATGTATCGGCAAGGATGAAGGCTGAACTAGTTGACTGCATTGTCATAGATGCATACAGTCTCAGGTGACCTCACACTCTGTTCAGGACATTAATGTTCTGCCCATATTGATCTGCATTTTCCTGTGACAACGCAAGGCTTGTAGCGGATCAATCTCTCTCTTATTACAACACTCGCAGCTAAGAAGGGAACACACATCACAAGACACGGTCTACACAGAATATAAGAAAAACGACCCCCATAGTGGAAGAACCACACACGTTTTAATTATGACACATAAGATGAATAATCTTAACAAGTTTTAGTGTGTGTAAATTTATTATAGTTGACAAATACGCACTTTTTAAATACTTTTTAAATAATTTTATAAAGGCAAGCAATGAAATAGATTAGTGTAATCAGGGCACCTGATGATGGCACTATGTTACCGAAACATGTCGTGAAGTAACAGGTGAAATTGAGTGCACTACAAGACGGCAACTGTATACATATCATGGATGAAAATCAGTGCAACAGGACACTAAAATACAACAGTACATTCTTTACATAAATGGAGACATCACCTTGATGCACTTTTTTTTTGTTCAGGTCTTTTGTCTTAAATCCTGCCCTTCTCTTTTGGAAAATGTTAGCCTTTATGTTCCTCCCAGCAATCTTACAGACTTCTCATTGTTTTGTGTTTGTCCCTCTAACAAACACTGTCCTTCTGCTTGTTGCCCCTATGCTGCCAACGCGGTGGGTAAAGATCTTGACATATCTGCCATCGGAATAGTTTCTGTCAATCAAATTGAGCCTAAAATTGTTAATAATATTTTATAATACTCCTAATATTAAATGTGTGTGTGTGTGTGTATGTATGTAAAATTTAAATTAAATTTACTTAGTGGGGGGTGGAGTCCAACTGGGTCCACTCGGTATGGCGGCCATTGATTGGCCTATTGTAGCCTGCCCTGGGTGATTATGACGATGGAGAATTTGGAAGAATGAAGATTGGCAGGGAAACTGAAGTACTCGGAGAAAACCTGCCCCAGTGCCACTTTTCCACCACAAATCCCACTTGACCAGACCCTGGCTCAAACTCGGGCCTCCGCAGTGGGAAGCCAGCGACTAACTTCTTGAGCTATGGCTTGGCCTGTGTATGTACGTATATTGGTCTTGTTTTATTTTTCTCTCCTGTTAACTTTAAATTTTCTTGGAAGTGTTATCAAGTTATTGCCATTATATAGACTCTCAAATTTTGTATTTTGTTTATTTTTGAGTATTTCTATGTACTCGTGCTAACCTTTTAATTGGCCTCTGTTCTGTTAAGTTTGCACGTAAATAAACATGAATTGAATTATTATTAATATTATTATTAGGACGTTGAGCTGACACACAGATAAGTACGAATTAATTGGGTTATTGTTATTAACTTCTATGTGTGTATGTATGGGTATTGTCCTTTCACGCCACATAATAGCATGACCATGCAAAATGTACTTATTTTATTTTTCTCACCCATTAATACTAACTTTAATTTTTCTTGGAATTATTATTAATTTATTGCCATTATATAGACTGTCTTATTATGTATTTTGTTTTTTTAGTTATTTTGTGTATTTCTATGTACTCATGCCAACTGTGTAATTGGCCTCTGTGCTGTTAAGTCTGCACATAAATAAACACGAATTGAATTATTATTATTTATTATTATTATTATTATTACACAAGATGGCATAACCATTGGAAATTTACATATTCAATTTTTTTCTCTTGTCAGTGTTAACTTTGTAGTGTTTCTTATAATTATTATTAATTTATTGCCCTTGTACAGAGTGTCATATTTTGTTCTTTAATTATTTTTGTGTATTTCTAGGTACTCATGCTAACTATGTAATTGGCCTCTGTGCTGTTAAGTTTGCATGTAAATAAACGTGAATTGAATTGAATTATTAATTACATTAATTTCATTAATGTATCTTTGCTCAAGTGCTTATATTTAATTAGTCTTTGACTTTATGTTGTGTTTGTCCATATGAAATTACTTTTATCTACAATGTGCAGTGTCTGTAATTGGCCTCTAACAGAAGTGAGTACCAGCAACCTTAAGGGGGGGGGGTTTAAAGGGTGGCTGGCATGTAAGGCTGACAACCTTCCTGCCATTTGTGAGCTGATTGCCTAGAGAATATGTGGGAGCCTCAACTTCTGACAACCCTAGGGGCCTCCATGGCCTGTTATAGGGATAGCTTTACCTCTGAAGTTCTTTCCTTTATAAGGAAAAACAGAACTACTATGGTTTCATAATTACATAGGTCGTACCGAAAGTCATGAGCAACTTTTTTTTGCATGCAGCCTGGGAACAGCAGATGAAAGAGAGTACGTTGGTAGGTGGAACCAGATGTTGTGTTAACCTTGAGTGTCTTGTGACGTCAATAGCTTACATCACGTGACCAGTATCACTCCTAACAAAATGTCCGACAACGATATGTCGTTTCGCCAGCATGCTGTCATCGAATTTCTTGTGAAAGAGGAAATCCCTACTGCAGAAATTCACCAGAGACTTCAGCATGCTTATGGAAGTATGTGCATGGGTTCGAGCAGTGTTCGAAGATGGG